GTACAGTCTGTCTTAAAAGTACCGCGCAAAGTGACGGTGGATCCATCAAGCCTGACCGAGAAAGGGCATGCTTTAGTTTGAAAGTCACCGACCAATTGACCTAGGGAATGGACGAGGATGTCAATTGCTTCGGTGACCCAAATTTAGCAGGCCCTTCCTCAGTCAGGCTCGATGGATCCACCGTCACTTTGCGCGGTACTTTTAAGACAGACTGTACATATAGCACGGCCGCTCGGGCGGTCCGCCGCGGCTGCCGGCCGGGTTGGAGCCTTGACGTGTATCGGAGTGATCTGAGGCTCCGGCGGGCGGGCTGCCGTTACACTCGGTGGTGCTGTGAGGAGACCGGGGTAGGGATTGGTGCCGAGGTCACTACCGGTTGTCCTGTCTCCAGCGAATGGCAGCGGTCCAGTCAGTACAGCTTACGTATCTGGTTATAGATGTCATATTCGTCCGATCTCCTGCAAATGTCCTACGGGACCCACGCTATTGTGTATTGCAGCCATGGACGGCAGCACATTGACCACAGTAAACCGGGCCCCAGCCAGTTCCGACTTCTGAGTCTGTTTCAAAGAAACAGCACCACTAAATTTGTCAAAATGTCTAGCCATCTCGTTTGCGCTACTTCGAGCGAAAAGCCGCGGCGCTGGCCTCCCGCGATGGATTTGTGCCGCATCCGGCCGCTCCTGCAGGTATTTTGTCGCGTCTCAAGGACAGGCCGTAAACTCTCGGCTTAGCCACGGTCCTTCCATGTCACGATCGCTCTCAGCTGTTAGTAATGCTTATAGAGTGGGCTGGCTTCGCAGAGTTGCAGTGCACTTGTCACTTGCGGAACTTCCATGGTCATTGAATATGAAGTCATTTTGAGACGTTTTATTGTGTGCAGTTTATAAACATAATTGCACTGAACAGATTTTCAAGGCTGGTCAGTGCCATTACCGGCTGCCGCGCTGTATCTACAAGGACTCAGTATAAACCAGCTGGTGACCCGAGGACGTATTTGTTCCCCCAGGCCAGAGTCGCCTGCGCGGCGTGCTGCTCTACGAGCTGCAGACGGCCATCCTCCGCAAGGCGCAGATCGACGTCGAGGGTGGCCGCCTGAAGGCGCCAGAGTGGAGGACGCTGGCTCAGGTGAGCGTCGATACCAACCAGATTACCTACCATCGCAGTGCCACTTGGAAAGCATGTCCTGCACTTAAAACTAGCGTAGGTAATATGCGTCTACTCGTATAAAGATCGAGGTTAGCATAAATAGTCCTACCTTAACCGTCTCATCGTTCGAGCCGCCGAATGAGTATTAAAGAAGCCGAGTCAATATTCGGGAGTGCTGTTGAAAGCATTAGGACGATAGAAAATGTAAAGGGCAGAAGCCGTATGTGTGATTGCGGAATTGCGTAGTTTTGCTGTGTGTCATGTCGTATCTGACATGATCTCGATTGTTCGTCTACTGAATTCCATCCCCCTGGGAGTGCCCTCGGACGCCGCTGCCCGTATCATATTTCACCGGATTATGAGACGTGTCATGTAAGTTGTAACATGAGCGGGTGCAGGGCGCCACGTCGTACATCCGCCAGTACATGGTTTATCTGCTCACTAATCTCAGGCTCCGACCGACCGACAGATTTGTTGCCTCTTCGTTGGAACTTGCAGTAAAGCTGTTTGACATTGTTTCAGTGTTCAGTTTGGCAGTACGTTCCTGATTCGGCGCCGGTAGCCGACAGGTGAAATGTGGTACGGAAGTTTAAAAGTTTAAATTTAGATTCGATACCATGATCCGTTATCACCTGGTCGGTGTATCTAGACGAAGGACATGGCACACGACTGCGGATTGTTGTATATTAGGTTGCATCGGTGGACAGGGCCAGTTGTGAGATGTCGGTTGGTAGATCGGTTGCGGTGGCGCCCGCTCATCTCCAGGACTAGGACCGGCTGGCTGACCTAGAAGCCGCCTCGGCTGCTCAGGACCTGTCGGACCGTTCCGCGGGTGCTCCGTTTGACGGTCACGCAGGTGTGAGGCTCGCTCAGAGGGATCATTTGTCAGGTGACACGGTGATTTGTCATTGAAGCCGTCCACCGTTCGTCACTGTAGACCACGGTCACCGCTCTCACGGCCACACGGTAGAACGTGTGTCCTGTCCTCCGCCATCATGACAGGCCAAAATGAGGGCATTGGTGACAAGACCCTACATTTGGTGATTTCTCTGATCATAGAACATGCCTGAGTAGTGAGTATTTCACTCCAATTCATAATGGACAACATTTACCACTATTGGAAAGTATTTGAATTTCGTTGAGCAGCTTACGAATACCGCGAAATAATAATTTCGTCCAACGGTATTTTGTTCAAACGTTCACTTTTATCTTGACTTTTATTTGGTTTGATTTCAAATAAAGCACATACCTAGGTAGAAGGGATTCGGAGCTACGCAGGTACTTCTTGAGACGACTTTCGCATATTTTTGTCTCCTATGTGTGAAGGCAGGACTAATGCTTTTCTCATGTTTTCGATAAGAAGCTTTCAGCTCTGGGATAAATAGTGTGCAGTGCAACGGCGCTGTATTATGACAAGGCAGCAAAACCACGGATTTAGCTATTTGCTGCCCTTTATATTCTCTCATAGAATGAATCATGCTGTGATGGTAGCACATATTTTCACACCGGTCGCGGTGAATTAAACGGCCATCTTCCCACTGCTCTCCCACCTTGAGTACGTATTACGCACGGTGTACAGTTGACCTCAGAATGATGTTCCACTTCTAAGAAGCCTTCAGTTCACTGGAACGCTAGGTTGTGCCGTTTATCACGCAGTTAAGCGTGTCAATTTCGAGCTTTGGGTCGTAACATTTACCCGTGAGCTCAGCCCGTGCGATGCGGTACAGCCTACCACTCCAGGCAACTGATTGTGAAAAGTGGAACATCGTTCTCTAGTCAACTGCACTACGTAGTACGTACCGACCCCTCCGACCTCCGTTTGACTTCAGATCCATGCACCCGTCATTCTGACCTCTCTATCTATCCCTCTGATCTCAGAACCCGCCCATTTGACCAATGCATGGGTCCCTCAGATTTCAGATTTCTGTACCGGGTCCCTATGACTCCTGACTGACTTCTGTGTCGGCTTCTCCATCTGACCTCTGGCCCCTGCACCGCCCCCTCTGACCTCTGACCCCCGCCCCCAGACGTGTATGGGCTACCTGGAGGAGTGTGTGGCCATCCTGGAGCGCGAGCCGACGGTGACCACGGAGCGCCACCTGGCGGCACAGGCGGCAGGAGAGCTGGAGGCGCTCACCAAGGTGCTGGCCGTGGCCGGCTACAAGGCCGTCATGGCCGGCGACGTCTGAGCGCGTCCGTTCACGGCTCAGTGCCGTCTGATCGCGTCCGTCCGTTCAGCGTACCTACCGGCACTGATCGGGAGTCGGGCGCTGAGCTGGCCAGGGGCCCTGAGATGAGGGCAGCAGAGACGGGATAGGTTTTGCTAAAAATCGGCCAGAGATTATCAGTCGGAGCTTTGTGATTTGTTTTTACATTTTGAAATACGATTTTTGGAAAGTTGTGAACTTTGAATAAATGATGATGTGTTGCATATGAATGTGGATTGTTTGAGTTTTTCGTACTGGTACGTTTGACTACTACATAAGTCCTAAGCGCCGTCTTCTGACTTCCGTCTTCGCTATTTGCTTTAGGTACCCATATTTGAGTTTGTCATGAATACCGACCCCATGGGAGAATGCTGTAACTAAATATGACAACATTCACTTACGTACGAGTATGTATGCACATCGTGCAATTGGGCTGATTCTGATTCTGCTGAATTTTGCATGCTGATTCTGGTGAAATAAGTGCTGATGCTAACTGATCACTGCTAACTGATGAGTCTATTCTATCTACCGACGCCTTCGGCTTAAATAAGCTTATCTCTTTAGTATAGGCAGCGATAGTTGTTAGGGCGGCCTTTACCTAATTTTAATGGAAGCCGTGCTTCTTCACATTTTTCCTGTATGAATGCATAGTACGCCTTCAGCTGTTAATCCTGTTAGCGGCCTTACCACACCTACCTACATATGTATGAACGTACTCTTACGTGCCTCCACTGATATACGCTATACCCACTGAATGTTCCGACTCACCGGCGCGGGGGCCGCTCGGACCGGTACCGATGCGGAGCCGATGGACAAAAAGTCCCAGACAGATGCGGGCAGAATGTCGAGCCACCACGGCATCGGTCGGGTGCCGGGCGGCGCCGCTGCTCTAGCCGGTGGCCACAGGCTTAGAGACCCGAATCGAACCTCGCCTCTTCGCGTTCCGAGACCGTTCAGAGCCCGTGCCATCCTCCTGTCTTATCAGGCGCATTGGGTAGAAATGTGACGCCGCGCGGGGCTCCGTGTATGACGCCGCGCGGGGCTCCGGGTATGACGCCGCGCGGGGCTCCGGGTATGACGCCGCGTGGGGCTCCGGGTATGACGCCGCCCAATGCACAGCGGGCGGGGCGTTTTTACGCGCGTTGCGGAACACTGCGGACGCCGGACACGCGTTGACTCTCAAGGACGCTTGGATGGTCGTCGACTGTGGTTATGATGGATGAGGAGATTCCGTGATGCTCAATGCACTACTGGATGAAATGGCTGTATGCTGCGCCAGAACCGTCCTGCCCAAGTGACGGCCCGAACCGTCCTGCATACTGATCACGGCCTAAGGTGACACTACAAAAGGAGAAAGAATAACGCTGATTACTCTTTGTTAAAATCTGCATTTAGCAGCTAAATTTTAGTCTCAGTAATGAATCTTTGCATGTCGTTTCTTGCATTTCAACGATTAGCTCACGTTTCAGTAGGTACTAGGATTGTGCTGTACGTGCTGATGCACGTTACACAACAGTGCCCTGTGACGTTCATCCATCAGCCAAATGCCAATGTAGCTAATGTGGCGCGTTGATCTGCCTGCACGGGAAGCATAAACCCCGAGTCTCGTCCGTGCAACGCAGCCAAGCAAACTGACAGATGATCAGGCATGTTATTCACCATTTATTACATATTAGTCAGGCTGCTTGCACCTCCGTTCAATGCTTCAACTTCTAACGTTCAAAGTAGTTGGTCTTAAAATTTGACCAGCGTCGTAATAAACAAATGAATTGCCATATAAATGAACGGAAATGTTATGAACTGAGCTGCAATATCTTTGAGCTTTACCGTTTAATGACCATTTGCCGGGTTAACAACCTAAATGTTAGGAAGAACCGGGGTTTCAAAAAAAAAAAAAAATCAGCCACTAGAGGAATTGCTACCGCTGCCCCAGAAGAGCGAATACGAACTACAATGCGAAATGGCTGAGTTGACCCAGGTAACTGGATTAACAAAGCCATGCTCTCCAACAAACGTCGATCTCAAAAGCACCTGCTAATGCAGCACACGCGCACACACGCACGACCACACCACTCCAATGTGAGCAACCACACACACACACAGCTCCAGTTTGGCACCTTTCACTCGCCCCGCGCCCCGTCCCGCCTCAGCGGATCACCACACACGGGTGGCACTTCTCCAGGTCCACCAGGAAGGTGGGCATGCAGGGGGCGCAGGCCCCCTCCGGCGGGTGCCTCAGGCTCAGCTGGAAGCCCTTCTGGTCGGGTTTCAGTCGGACGGCGGGCCCGTTCGGGGTGGCCAGAGCGGCGATCGCCAGCAGCACGGACGGGCTGCCGACGGTGCGCCGCGACCCCTGCGCGGTGCGGCGCGGCTCCAGCGAGGCGATCCGCATCAGCAGCGAGGTCAGCGGGTCAGCCGCCTCCGGAACGGACTCGCTCTTCGGCGCCGAGGGGGTCCTCCGCCTCGGCGTGGTGCGCGGCGAGACGGTGGTGGGCCGGACGGTGAAGCGGAACGGGCGCCGGGTCGTCCGGGTGTTCTGCGCGCCCCTGGCAGAGAACAGCGCCCGACGCTTCGTCGTCGGCGTGGGCCGTTTAGTGGTTACCGCTGGCCGTTTGGTGGTCACCGCTGGCCGTTGGGTAGTCGTCCGCCTTTTGGTAGGTCGTCTGGTGGTTACTATTGGCCGTTTGGTAGTTACCGTTGGCCGTTGGGTTGTCGTTCGTCTCTTGGCAGGACGTTTGGTCGTGGTCCGTGTTGTTCTCGGTCGCTGCGTGGTTGTCAGCGTTGCTGGCCGTGTCGTTGTCAGGCGCCTTATGGCTGGTCGTTTGGTGAACAGTCTCCGTGTTGTTGGCCGTTTTGTCGTCGTTCGTCGGGTTGTGGTTGGTCTCGATGTGGTTGTGGTCGGCGTGGACGTGGTTGTTGGACGTTTCGTAGTTGAAGTTCGCTGTGGCCACTTTGGCAGTGGCCGTTTTGTGGTGGTTGACTGCCTGCTGATTGGAGAAGCTCGGCTCCACTTGAAGACCGTCCTTTTAGTTGGCTCGGTCTTTGGCTTCGCGGAAGTGGAGGGAGGCTTCCACTTTGGAAAGGTTCGCCTCGTAGTTGGGACGGTCGTAGTCGTCGTCGGACGTTCCGTTGTGGATGTTCGTCGTTTCCAGAACGGCACCGGTCGCTCCGTTGTCGTGGTTTGTTGTTTGCCAAACGGCGATGGCCGTGCTGTTGTTGAAGTCGTCCGTTTCCAAAACGGAAGTGGTCGTTTTGTTGTGGTTGTTGTAGTTTGCTGTTTCGCGAACGGCGACGGCCGTGGCGTTGTCGAGGTTCGCTGTTTCCAGAACGGAGGTGGCCGTTTTGTTGTCGTAGTGGTTGTCTTTGCCGAGGCGACCTCTCGCTTCTTGGCATCATTCGTTGCACTGACGGCAGTCCCGAAGGAAAAGCCGAATCTCTTGGGCGCTTTTTCAGCACTTCTTCGTGCACGGATGCCCTTGTGTTCTATAAGATGTCGACCCAGATGTTCGTACACATTTAGTGCCGCGTTTTCGATCTCGTTTGCAATGACCCTAGCATCTTCAAGCACCGTGGTCTTTACGCCATCTGCAAGAAATGTTGTGAAAGCAAATGTTACAAACCATCTTAATATGTTTTAGATATTTGCTTGCCCTTACATATACATAATATATTTGAAAATCGATTTTCTTATTAAAGCCATTATACTTTATATCCTATAAAAAGAATTGAGAGAAAGAGGAGAGAGAGAGAGAGAGAGAGAGAGAGAGAGAGAGAGAGAGAGAGAGAGAGAGAGAGAGAGAGAGAGAGAGAGAGAGAGAGAGAAAGAGAGAGAGAGAGAGAGAGAGAGAGAGAGAGAGAGAGAGAGAGAGAGAGAGAGAGAGAGAGAGAGAGAGAGAGAGAGAGAGAGAGAGAGAGAGAGAGAGAGAGAGAGAGAGAGAGAGAGAGAGAGAGAGAGAGAGAGAGAGAGAGAGAGAGAGAGAGAGAGAGAGACAGTCAGACAGACAGACAGACAGACAGACAGACAGACAGACAGACAGACAGACAGACAGACAGACAGACAGACAGACAGACAGACAGACAGACAGACAGACAGACAGACAGACAGACAGACAGACAGAGACAGAGACAGAGACAAAGACAGACAAACAGAAACAGACAGACAGACAGAAAGAATAGTGATAAAGGATGACGCACGACCCGGTAAACCACAAGCTGGTTATCCCCGCGGCACATGTTCGAATCGCACGTACCTTGCGAAGGGGACAGACGACTCCTCGCTGTCAGAATGCCCTCGGCTCTCTGCGAAAACGTTGTGTATTTTCATCAATGAGTACCTAAAATTATTATCAAACTCAGTGAACGTAACCTTGAGCTGTCATACCACTGATAATTGAGAGATGTTTTGTGACATTCAATAACGAATGACCACCGTAGGTAACACGACATTCACAAACATCTGCGCTAGGAAAAATGTTATTTAATCAGCATGCCACACCAGGTAGCACTATTAGGCAGCTGCCCTTTTCTTTATGGTTCGGTTAACTGGTGAATATTGCATGCAGTTATATCAGGGTCGGCGAAGCAGCCACTGATATTATATCAACGGTGCAATAAAAATATCTAACTCAATATAATAAATAATACAATTTACACTACTATTAAATGGTGGTAAATAAATGGTCATGAAAACGTGTTTCTATAAAGGGTGAAGCCTGTCTAGCTACATTCGATTTAAAGCTGGCTGCATGTCGAACGGTTAAGACCTACAAAATTGCTGTAATTGCTGTAAATTGCTTCTTATTAGTCCCTATGTTTCACCACGATAAGCATAAAACGCACCGAATGTGCTTACGTTATGTGCGTATATGATATCTGGGTATCTCACTGATCAACGCTTTGCTGACATACACCTAGATAATGTTATGAAACAGTGGAGTGCAGGGATCATAAAGACTCTTATCCTGGTGTAAGCTAAAGAGGAAGATCTGCCAAGCATTTGACAGGACGGCGATGGCAACATATGCCTAGTCTGGGTGGGAGGGTGGCGTCAGAAACCAGCTTTGGGGCCAGGGAAAATGGAGGGAGAACGGAGAGTGGTCACATTTAGGGCCTTGGTGGTCACTACACCTGATTGGGGAGCTGTTGAATAATGTGGCGTCCCATAGTGAGGTGCAGTGAATCAGTGACGCAGTGATGCATCTCCTCTCACGATTAGGACCCGTCACTAGTCACTACTGGTGTGAGCCCTAGACTCGGGACAGGTCCTGGCCGGGCAGCCCGCCGCTGATACAGACGGTGGTCCGGGCAGGGAGACCGGACCGCCGCAGCGGACCGGCCTCGAGCAACCGAGTGTGAACTGTGAAATAGGATCTGTCGCTCGCGGCGACCGGTTCGGAATCCAGTTACCAGCGCAAGTCAACGACTGGGGAGCTGGCCAGGCCAGTCGGCAAGCGACGCGGTGCCTATCCGTAGCTAATGGTATAGGTTCGGCAAATTAGGTACGCGCTATAGTGTTCCTATACTCACGACCGGAACCATTGTTCCATCGAATTATAGGAATTTGTATCCAATGCATATTCTGACCATAGAGATCTTATATACATAGAGATGACACGCCTATGTTAAAGCACTGGATTTCGTGGCGATTCAGTGGGTCTTTTTAAGCAAGGTTTTCTGGGGTGCCATGGCCCGTGACTTGCATTTTGTAAGGATTCGGTCAAGGAGATTGTGTTCACACCCGCTTATTTTTAAGTGCAGCTTTTCTTTTTTGTCTAGCTGTGACGCTTTCGAGCGTTATTATTGAAATAAAATTAGGCATGTTTTAACCTTATGCTCGTATCAGGTACTACATGTATCATTAACCCTCGCCGGCCGACGGGGGGGGGGCGGGTGCCGCCCCCCCCCCCTAGGGGTTTTCACGATAGCTCCGAACACGCCGGCGATAGAGAGCTGAAACTTGGCATACCTGACCTTTAATCCAAGCCGCATCTTCTGACACCAACCGCATTTTCAGGTCAGGTCAGGTCACTGATCTGTGACGTCATAAGTGAACCTCTGCACAGTCCTCAGATGTCGCAACTTCGCAACGCCGTCAGTGCCAGAGGAACTTTCACAGGGAGATGAAACTTACAGGATGTAGTATCCTCCAGAGGTCTCACAACTTGTATATCTCGGATTTTCCCTAAAAATCACATGAGGTCAGGTCGGCCATGTGACCTCACCATTAGGTATAAGTCAATGGGGAAAAATGAAAACTGCTATTTTAGCGCCGAGAACTATCTCAAACTGTCTCAAGCACATGGAATCGTGATTTATTGCACGCCTTGCAAGAAATCACTTTGCAAGTTTGCTTCACTTTTGCATTGTTGACATTGTGTGACGTCATTTATGGTCACTTGGGTCATTAGAGTTTTTCATCAATAACTCCCCATCCAATTGAGTTAGCGAGTCGGGAAAGCCACCAATAAACTCAGGAAGACCTGCCGATTCGAGTAATATGTAACATGACCTCTTTTAACCAGCTTCGTGATCTGGGGGCGCTGACCTGCCCTTGACCCGAGGTCAACACCTCAAGTTGACCTCACCCGAACAAAAAGTATACCATTCGACGCGCCTGAGCGAGGCGAACACTATGATGCCAAAATCGCGGCTCTCCGACCGTTTTTTGCGAAGTTATGAAAACTGAACCCTTGCTCTTGGTCACTTGCCCTGACCTCAGAAGGCACCGGTTGACCTGAAACCTTAAAATCGGGTACCAGTCGCTGCGTCTCGTAACGGCGCACACGCTTGCTTTTTCCGCGACGCTCTAGCTTCATCAGGGGCGAAACGGCGAGGGAAATCGTACCCCCCCCCCCTCGGCCGGCGCGTACGTAGAAAACCAATAGGTCCGGCGAGGGTTAATGTATCATTGAATGGGAACATGCAACATATGTATACTTGAGCTTGCACCGTGCTCAGAAAGGTTCAGAACAGCTGTTTTCACGAAGGTTGACCGAAAGCGCCAAACTTGACCAAATCTCAAGAAACCTACCCTGAAAATTCCATGAACCTCGCCCAAATGACATTAGACCTGTGACCTTTTTGGGGGGGACCATGTCAGGGGGCCATAAAACATACATCGCACAACCCTAGTAAAGTTGGTTCATGTGCTGACCCTTGGTGACCTGACCTGTGACCTGACATGGATCAGTGACCTCTAATAGCAACATATATACTAGGCAACGTAAGCCCTATTGCTGATTTTCGACAAAATGCGTTTTACTCTTTGTTATAGCGCATTCCCTAGAAGACCTGTGAACGGCGAAACATTTTATCTTTGACCTGACCTGTGACGTCATCGGTGACCCCGAGGTCAATGAAATTGGAGTTCCGTCAATGAATTTGACAGGGCTATCGAACATCGTTTGAATGTTACGGATCCGTCCAGTAGTTTCGGAGATACGGGAGGGGGGGGCAAAAAATGCCCCCCTCCCCCACCGCGCGGAAGGTGGCCGGGAGGTCCACCGCCTGCCGGGTTGATGAGAGCCTGAATGAGAGAGAATGTTTTTAGGCGAGCTTTTAAGGAATTCAATAAAAACACAAAATGAAATCATGCTACAAATTTCATTGCTTACCTCAGGAATGAAATCAGCCAGGAAAGAACAGCAATATTTTTAACCATTAAAAAGCCTTTTGGGGCGACCAACGGAGCGAGCGAGAGGGTGGGCCTTGGACAAGCGAAATTGCAAGGGACACCTCCAACTAACTTGTGCACTGCACCCTACTAACCGGTCCCTAGCGATGTGCCAAATTTGAGCGCAATCGGCCTAGCCGTTCTCGAGATCTGGAAGCGGCACCCTGCGCGTGCGCACGTGCAAAATGGGTCCCAACTGACTTTTGCACGGCACCCTACTAACTGGTCCCTAACCATGTACCAAATTTCAGCACAATCGGTTCAGCCGTTCTCGAGATCTGGAATCGACCCCTGCACGTGCGCACGTGCAGCAGCACCCCAACTGTGGCACATGGATATGCATTGCCTAGTGGGTGCCTACCTACATACCAAGTTTCAGCGCAATCGGCCAAGTAGTTACCAAGATATTGCAACAATTACAAAACTGACACCTTTTCGTTTTGCACGTGGCACGTGCATAAGCGGTCACCCACATGCATCGAGAATGGTCCAATACTTGGTAGAAGGAATGAAGCTACCCTACAAAAATTATCGCATGTAAATCGGTCAAGTGGTTGTTGAGATATAAGCCTCGCAAAAGCGTAACCACGGCCGGCCGGCCGCTTATACTCAGACATTTCCGTTAATCTACGAAAGACTACGCTCGCTTCGCTCGCTCCGTATTGATTTCTTCAGACTAACAATGCCTCAGCCATATTGGCACGCTACTGGCTGAAAATAAGTTGCTTAAAAAGACCCACTGAATCGCCACGATTTTAAGAGCATGTCATCTCTATGTATATAAGATCTCTATGATTCTGACATGCAGTAGGTAAAAGGCTTTCCTACATGCCGGGGTATGTCTTAAGCACAGCACGAGCCGGGCAGTAAAACTATGACCAAGAAACTGTCCGTGTCAAAATGCCATGTTATTTGATAGGCCGGGCAGGAAACAAAAGTTTACTGCCCGGGTTTACTGCCCAGGGCAATGACCTCTAAACTACAGTTTATCGCATTAGCCCAGAGGTATAATTGACAGGGAATGTATAATTGACATCATTATTGCATGTTGCCGCGTAAAAATAGATAACTAACATTTTTTGGTAAAAAATATCTGCTCTGCTTATCAAGGGTTTTGAAATATTTTGTATTGGTTACAAAGCCGAAATTATGGTAAAATATGCGCCTATTTATCGAAATCTGTTATCGCTTGTTGTCTTATCTTCGTTTGATATGTCCACTGATACCTACCTTGGGCCTAATTTATTGCGTTATCATTTGACAGTTGTAGTCCTTTCCTCGAAACAAACATGTAAAATATGAAAAATATAGGTCATGTATTTCACGAAAGTTTAGCCATAGGGCATCAACAAAGTACGATTACATAAATAAAGATCTTGCAAGAGCACTGGAAAATTGACGTTTATTCACTAGGAATATTATACCTTCTTCTTGTTCTTATGTCGTGGCAAATTATTCATGCATTACCTATGTTTCTTGGATATCCAGTTGTGCCATTCTGAGTTGATATTTTCAGACGCGATTCTTTTTGAAGTAAGATGCTTTGATGCATTTTCTTCTATAAATTTCCTTTAAAGCTTTATCCACAGCAGTAGCGCAATCACTGTTAGGAAATTATGGACAAAAC